ACAAAGCAAAGCAAGATTTATCAAAACAGTATAACATAGCTTTATCAAAAATACCACTCACATAGTTTTCCTCGGGTGTAGGCTCAAAGCAAAGATCAAGGACCTACAATCACATGGCAATCACATTCTCAAAATAAGCTTTATATGCATGCAGATGATCCCGGCATCCTCACCAGATCCAGGTCAATAACAAAGCAAAACATGCTGGGAGTTTAACACTGCTCCCGTCTCATGAAAACACACTGGGTACCAACCAGGTCTTTGTCGAGGTCCTACACCTCCTTGCCGAGGTGTGGTCCCGATGGCCTCATTCAAAAGCAAAGTCGGGAAAACCTGGGTTTCCCTTTGAAGAACATGATGAACATGATCATGAGGGAGATGAATGCAAGATCATAACTTTTTACAAAAATCTGAGATTTCATGCCATGAGTTCAAAACATGGACCTGGGTACCCATACAAGAAGGTCATGCAAGAGCAAACACAAAACATGGTTCTTGTTCCAAACTTTTGGATCAAAACGAGACTTTCTTCAAGAACACATGAAAACCATTTTCTCCTTCCAAAACCAACTTCAAATCGATGCATGACATGCAAAACAGATTCGATCATGCAATGCAGCTAGATGATCAATAAAAACAACAAGAGTAGGTTAAGATTCTAACCTCAGAACTCGAATCTAACGGTTCGAACCTCGAAGATCAAGCTTGGAAGATTTGTTCTCACTCAAGAACTTCTACTCCCTCCTCTAGAGCTTCTCTCTCTAAAGACAAAGATTTGAGACAAAATGATTTGTTTCTAGGTCTGCCGGCTGTCTTAACAATCAGCTCGGACACGTGGCGCTACCGGGTTGGCTCAACTCAAAAGGTGATTGATGGTCTAACCTCAAAACTCGAATCTAACGGTTCGAACCTCGAAGATCAAGCTTGGAAGATTTATTCTCACTCAAGAACTTCTACTCCCTCCTCTAGAGCTTCTCTCTCTAAAGACAAAGATTTGAGACAAAATGATTTGTTTCTAGGTCTGCCGGCTGTCTTAACAATCAGCTCGGACACGTGGCGCTACCGGGTTGGTTCAACTCAAAAAGGTGATTGATTGATAAGACAAGTCTCAGACAAAGCGTATGCAGCAAGCTAAGGCAAGACACATCGGCAAGTAATGATATCGGCTAAAGTCAAAGCTTCGGCAACAGGGTCACAAAGACATCGGCTAGGGAGGACGACACTTGACTAAGCTGTGCCAAACCTTGGCCAGGGTGTGCCACACCTTGGTCTAGGCCTTACCTGCCCCAGGACAAAGATCACTAAGTGCAAAACATCTCGGCCTAGATGATACACTCCTCGACCTTGGTTTCGAACACCTCGGCCCAGATAGTGACAACTCGGCAAACATGCCCGGGGTGAAGATGAGGGTCGACCAAGTGGTTCCAAAATAGTTCTAAGTACAAAGGTTCAGAGGTGAACTAAGCTCAAGATAACCTCGACTACACACCAAGCAAGGAACAAAATCATGCAAGCAACACTTAAACAAAACAAGGCAAGGCAAGGCAAAACTTCTAAGCAACATAACAAGACAAAGATCATGCCTGAATGTATGCAAGTATGACAAGAGTAAGGTGAGGGTTGCTACACCCAATCTGTTACAAACCTGCCCAACACATCCCAAAACTCTAATACAAAGAATTAAAGTACGGAACTGCGATACAGACAACAACAAACATCCACGGAACCGAGTCCGGAATACAATAAACAATGGAGGGAAAACCGGGATCGCTATAATTACACACCAGTATTGTGTCAAAAAAAATAATAAATTTTATAAATATTAATAATTAAAATTATAAATTATTTTATTATTGTGTAATAATTTTTCAAAATACTCACTGAAAAAATTTCTTATTATTTTTCGGGAAAATAACATATCAATAATACCTAGTAAAAATAATAATAATTTCATAAAAAAATTTATGAAATTATCTTTCAATGTTACAAAATTTTTCATTAATTTGTTCCCACTTAAAGGATATTTTTAGTGACTTTTTTATTATTTTTTTTCATTTTTAGTGATTTTGTTTTAAAATTTTTCATTAAACTTTATATTTTTTAGTTTTACTGGACTAGATAGATTAAAAAAATAAATAACTTTAAATAACTTTGAAAAAAATCTAGAAAGTACATAATTTTTTTTTATATTTATTTTGACTTATTTTTGGTTTTTTTGGTAGTACTTTGTTTGAATTTATTTTTTCATCTTTTTGTTTTACTTTCTAAATTTATCTAAGACGGACTTAAAAACGTAAAAATTTAAATATAATTTATAAAAAAATTACTACAAATAATAAATTTTTTTTTTCCTAACTGCATGCCAAACACCAACATATTCATTGTAGCATTACCTATTACATATTTTGCAAATTCGCTCAACTAAACCATGACTCATTTGAACTTATCCTCTAAACTTTAAAACTTAATAGTTAAGTACTTTAGATATTATCTTGTTACACTTCATTCTTTTTCATTATGATTCTGTTAGAGATTTACATATGACTAAGTCATGTGTGAAGCATATAACACACTTATTAAATTTTTAAGATAATAGTGTTTTTATTTTTTGATTTGTTTATACTTTGTCACTAAGATAAATGAGACAAAGTGTAAATGAGATCACTAAATAAATGTATTATTATCTTAAAAAATAATAAATATGTCATGTGCTTTACACTTAATTTAATTTTTTTTTTAAAATCCCTAACAATATTCTAACGGAATGTGTTAAAGGAAATAAGATAATACATTGAATTAGTTAACTCTTGAGATTTAAAATTTAGAGGGACAGTGCAAATAGTCATAGTTTAACACTGTGTTTGGTTGGGAAATTTGGAAAGGGATATAAAAGGAAAAAAAAGTGTGTAAAATTAGGCAAAATGTAGGTATATTTTATTTACATTTCACTTACTCTTTTTTTTCCCTCTTTCCAAGTTCCTTTCCAAATTCTCCAATCAAATACAGTATAAGAAGTTTATTAGGGCTTGTTTAAGAAGGTATACTATTAGTTAAAAAATTACTATAAATTATCAAATAATTTTTTGCATATCTTTTATAAAACTAAAAAGAAACTAAAAAATTCAATTCCAAACAACCCACCCAAATTGTTAATTTTTTGAAGTGGCGGTTTTGACAATAAAAAATTACTATAAGTTATCAAATGGAGTGTTGCTATTTTCACTAGTTATTTTGAACCTCCCATTTCTTTAAACCTCCACTTATAAATTCTAAAACCCTTAAAAAAAATTTCTATCACCAAATAATACCAAAATTATCCTTATAAAAATATTTCACCTATTCAAATGCATAACCCCCACCCTAAAAAGCTTTTCTTCCAAAACCCTAATAGAATCCATGATAGTGGAACCTCCCAAAGCCAATAAAAAAAATTGTGGTGATTAAAAAGTTTTTTCTTTGTTTCATTACCAGGTTTGTCAATCTATTTGATTTTTTTTTTTCTTTTTTTTTTTTTCTATTACCTCCTTTTACACACACAACATAATCCACTTTCATACTTCTATGGTTGGTTTTCTGTTATTTCTCCATGGCCCTATTGTACTTGTATGCTCTCTGTGTGAACAAAACTGGGCAGGATTTCACTCCCCAGTCGACCCTTCGGTCAACCGGCTGGTTGACCACCTCTGACCTCCTTTGTTTGCCTACTTTTGCTATTGCTTCAATTATCTGTTTCTGAACAAATAAGAAATGTTCGGCTACCTATTCCTAAACAAATAAACAATGTTCAGACTTGTGTTCCTGAATTTCGGTCATATGTTCGGGAGTTCAATCCCAAAAAAAATGACGAACAGTTTTTATTATTTTTGTCATTTTTTCAAGAAACTTACCCTTACAAGGCCAATCTCCTTTGAGCTAAGAACACCATCAAAGTTATGAACCTCTTATGAGCTTTTATTGTTGTACTCCTCTCGTCTCAAATAGTTGTCAAATTTTTTTTCACTAATTGTCATTACGGGAGAAGTGTATGTAATCAAATAGTTGTCACTGCTGTCGCCGAAATATTGCCTCCAAAGGGTTTTCAAGTTTTTGAGGGTGGGTAGGTTTTGAAGGTGGGATTTAGAGAAGATAGATGGGTGGTGATGGAAGTAGGTGGTCTCATAAATCCTAACTCATGATGTAGTGAGTGTGTTGACTTAATTGTGAGATAGGGTGTCTCAAAATTTTTGATATCCTTTCTAATAATTTTATTTAAAGTTATTATTATAATACAAAAAAAACAAGAAAATGAGGTCCAAAATAATTAATAGGTAGCAGCACTATGCCAGCCTTTTCAAAGATGGAATTTCTTTGTCTGTGATCCTTTTTACTGTTATATTTATTACATGTATCCCTCTAAATATTAGTTGACAGTTGTTACTGATTTTAGATTATTGTCATCAATTATTTCTGGTAATAGGATTGCCTTTTACACCAATCGGGCAGAGAGAATTAACTAGCTATATCTGCAACCAGACATCATTATCGCTAGTATCGACGAAGTCTCATCAAATACAAAGCCTTTGATTCATCAAATACGGAAATTGTCCAAGAGTGTTAAGAAACTAATGGAGATGATTCCTCATCAAGAAGCATGTGCTTGAATTCCCTTGCGTACTCTATTTGCCCTCAGAACCTAGTATTCCATACTACTTATTTGTTTAGGATTTTATTTTATTTTTGGTTTTTGGTTTTGTTTTACATGATTGAGTATTCTTTTTTTTATTATTTTTTTTTCTTTTCTTTAGGTAAATTAGGAGGAAGCTTCTCTTTTTGACATATTGTGGTTGCTGCTTGCAAGTGTCATGTTTGTGCCCATATTCTAGAAAATTTGTGGAGGTAACTGAATCTCATGATCTATTAGTTAAATTGAAGCCTTATCTTTGACTTCTTCTTTAGTGTAAGATGGTTGCAGCATGTGGCATGATTTCATGTTTGTATATATAAGGTACGTGCACTTCATGATTGTTTTATATACAGTATTACATAAATTTGGAATGGTACATAGAGGATTAGCATGGCTCTTGCACAAGGATGACATTCAAAATGCCACTATCAGAACTTTTTTATATCCAGACTTCTCTGCTTGGCATTTCATAGCTCATGTTTCATTATCCTTGTTTGCTATTGATTATGCTTTTGCAAACTTATTCTAGAAGTAGAACTCTGAAAATCCTAAGTGATTCGTGATTAGATCAAGATTTAATTATCCCAATTCCCAATTATTCAAAACACACAATCTAAATCAACAAGCACTTACGAAAGTGGTTTAGATTGTTGTTTTCAAAGACAATAAATCGACACAAACGATTTTTACGTGGAAAAACCACGGACGAAACGCCACTAATCAATCCACTACTGAAGAAAGAAAGATTACAAAGATCACAAACAAATTACCAAACACATCAAATTTGTCTTCAAACCTTCTGTAAAACTTTCACCACAGCCTTCGTCTCGGATTTGATTAGTATGAAGTTGAATCCACAACTTCTATTGTCGAATTAACGACCACGCACAGTATCAAACTCCTTTGATGCTCCATGCTTGAATCTTCAGATTCCACCAAAGAAGATCACTCTTGAATATGAAGAAACAAACTCCTTGATGTAAGTATCTTAGATCATAGGTTTCAACCCCTCTCAAATATATCAAGGAAAACTCACAAAAACTTTAGAAGAAAACCTCAAACAAAACCCTAAGACTCTTGAACAAGATCTAAGAGAAGTAACCCTAAAATTGAACCAACACGCTAATATATAGAAACAGAGATCGCACGGTCCGCTTGAGCATGGGAATTGATGCTCGAGCAGGGACTCTATATAGCGTGTTCTAAACAAGGTTCACGCTCGAGCGGAAGATCCCACGCTCGAGCGTACAACCATATCACTCAGTATTTTTGCAGACGAACCAGATGTTGTGAGAGTGAAAACCCCGCTCGAGCGTCACTTTCCCCGCTCGAGCGGGAAGACTACAACTTGAAAAACTGGAAAATTTGCAACTTGATTACACATTTAGTTTTTCCATTGATTTTGACAATAAGAGGGTTCTAACAATCTCCCCTTTTGTCATCCCGGAAAAATCTATTCTAAAACAATTTTCCTAACAAATCCACCATAAAAGAAACAAAAAAACCAACACCGAAGACTGAAAATTTGCAACTCTTGAAACATGTCTTTGAATAATCCACCTGAAAACAAAAACAACCACACAAACCAACCAAAATTGTGGAACGATATAAATAACTAAATATAAAATATCTGAGAAACATTACACCCATACATTAAAGAAACAAAAAAAAAAAAATCCCAAAGTCATAACACCCAATATGCATGCAACAAGTATAAAGCCAAACCCAACAATATATATACTCCCTCTTTTTGTCTGGGAGTGATCAAAAACCAAGAGAAACAGTAGCTAAAAGCATGTTTGGACTTCAATGATCATGGAGCGATGTTGAGCAAGACACTGGAGGATAAAGCCTTGGTCCTGGTTGATTCCTGAACTATGGGTGGTGACGATAATATTGGCACACACAATGAGGTTGAGCAACTGAAACTGGGGTAGAAGCTCATTTTGTTCGATTAAGGAGCCAGAGGGCCAAGGACGAGAGGTACCACATAAATCAGTGGCAACCTCATTGAAATCACAGGTTGGACGCACAGGAAAAGGATAGAAGATGGGGAAGACTTTACTAATCCCTAACAACTCTCGAATGAGATTAGTGGTGACGGTGATTGACTTGGATCGGACCCAAGTCTTGAATGACGGACCTATATCATCAAGACTTTCCATGTTATAATAAAATTCATGGGCCCAGCTGAGGTTTTGAGGACCTAAGAAAGAAAGGACATAATCTCCACCCAAGGGATCAAAAAGAGGACGGATATAGATAGACTCAAAGGTAGTAGGTTGAACATTGCGTTCGAGATGAACGGTTCGGGATGGATAAGACTCTCTAAACAACTTGGCTTTCTTAGTCGGGGGAAACCGGTCAGAGTTAAAAGCAGGGCGAGGGGCAGTAGACTTCCTTTTCTTGAAAGTAGACATGACTAAACCAAGAAAAAAAAACAAAAGACCAAAACACATAACCCCCAACCCAAGACAAAAATTAAACCAACAGAGGAAAAACAAAACATTAGTAATATAGCACAGTCAAATACAGCAACATGAGTCAGGCAAATAAAACTTTAAAACAATATTGTAGTCTCAAGAGAACCAAATATTTCAAAGATGAATCATGGTGAGCAATGCAGCCATAAAAACAAGAACAAATAGACTTAATGGAGATTAGAGAAACAGTCAACAGTCAAAGAAATTAACCCATCTCAATATGCCAAAGACTCAATAAACCAAGACAAGTAGCACACGACTCATAATACCCTACCTATACGAACATGAGTGAAGGATGAGACATGAGAAAAAAAAAAACAAAAACAACTACGAAAGTAAAGATGAAAACAGAGAGGAAACAGAAGAGGGGCATACCTTAGGTGTGCGAAAAGAACGAAAATCAGCAATGAAAAGGCCAATGAAGACAATGCACAGAGATGCCAAGGAGCCCTAGGAGAGAGAATGCACAGAGATTTGGGGAAAAATGAACTGAAGGGTCGAGAGGGAAAGAATATAAGCCAAACCAGTTCGCTCGAGCATCAGATATAATGCTCAAGCGGGAGCCAAAGAATGCATAGATACGATCGACCTCGAAAACGGATGCTCGAGCGCCAAAACAACCCTCACAGAACTGTAAAACTCAGCACAAAATGCTGCCAGACTGAAATCCACACTCGATCGTGAGATCTGCCGCTCGAGCGGGGACAAAACACCACCTAAAATTAATTTTTTTTTATTTTTTTATTTTTAGATAAAAAAAACTCAACCGGAACAGGATGTCTTGTAACCTACGGGGAGTACAATTGGAAGACTGTAACACTGAGATGAGAGTATCCATAAACCATGAATCCTGTAAACTTGCAATTTTGAAAATATGAAGCATATAATCATGCTCAAATCAGATAAAATATAATCAATGATCATAAACTACAAGAGAATGTACAACTCAGAAACCAACATGAAAGCTCACAAAAATGATGTGTGTGTGTGCAATCCATGAGAGGTCACAGAACTAGAGTTAATCCTCGTAGTGATCGGATGGCTGGACCTCTAACAAGAGTAACTGAACATCACAGAGAAAAGTCAAACCACTAGGAATCACGGGGTAGTTGTTGAGTAAACGAGGAGGCTCGCCCTCAATCAATGATTCTTTTTTTTTTTTTTTTTTTAACTTTTCTTTCTTGTGGGCACTCACTGGTGGCATGCACGCTCAAGAGTATGAAGACCAAACCAGAGAAGAATGAAATCAAAAAAGATGGCCTGGTTGGTGCCTCTGAGGTAGCCCTTTTCTAATGCCCGTATTTCAATGAACTGAGGGAGAAACCATGGGAGTGAAAAGTGATGGTAGATGGTTAAGAGACTCAACATCATCCATGATATACTAGTATAGGTCAATTCCTCTGAAAAAGTACAAGAAAGACTGTTTGTGGTCCATAGAGAACTTTGATCACTTGTGCGGAAACCCCTGCAACAGTTTATCTCAAGGATGTGTACAGAATGAGATCATGAAGGAAATGAGCATGGACATTCAGAATGAGCTATGAACAAAACGAATGAGATCTTGTAAGCAACATGAGCAGTGTTCATATATTCCTAGATGCAAAGATGACAGGATTCAAGGACAATGAGATTATAACATCCAAGTATACAACAAACCAAACACTTACACCCACTAATACACCCAAAGTCTTTCTAAGAAACTCAAACTAAAGAAGATCAAGGGGTTTTGTAAAAATATCAGCTTTTTTATGCTCAGTGGGTACATGTTCAAGAACAACAAGGCCCTCTTCCACTAACTCTCGAATAAAATGATGACGAATGTCAATGTTTTTGGTGCGAGAGTGTTGGACATGATTTTTTGAAATGTTTATGGCACTTGTATTATCACAAAAAAGAGTGAGAGTGTTCTGTTTTATCCCATAATCATGAAGCATTTGCTTCATCCGCAGCATTTGTGCACAACAACTCCCTGCAGCAATGTACTCAGCCTCAATAGTCGAAAGAGAAATGGCATTTTGCTTTTTACTATGCTAGGAAACCAAATTATTCCCAAGGTAAAAACACCCCTCGGATGTACTTTTCCTATCATCAGCACACCTTGCCCAGTCGGCATCAGAAAAACCAGTAGTTTCAACTGTAGTATCAGTAGAAAACCAAACCCCATACCCCAATGTCCCATTAACATATTTAATGATGCGTTTGACAGCAAGAAGATGAGACTCTTTAGGATTGGCTTGGTAACAGGCACAAACACCTACACTAAAAGCGATATCAGGATGACTGGCTGTGAGGTAGAGAAGACTCCCTATCATACTCCTATAAAGGGTAGGATCAACATCAATACCAAAGGGATCTCTGGAAAGGTGAAGACGGTGCTCATGGGAGTGCGCGCATGTTTGGCAGACTCAAGACCAAACTTTGACACAAGATTTTTGGCATACTTAGTCTGAGAAACAAACATACTCGAAGGAGACTGTTTAATTTGTAGACCCAAAAAATAAGACAACTCTCCCATCATGCTCATCTCAAACTCATGTGTTATGCAATCCAAAAAATATTTCACAAGATGATCAGCAGTGGATCCAAACACAATATCATCAACATAAATCTGATTAACAAGAATATGAGACTTAATATGTTTCACAAATAAAGTCTTATCCACACTACCCCTTTGAAAGTCATTATAAGGAAGAAATGTAGTAAGTCTATCATACCAAGCCCGAGAGGCTTGTTTCAACTCATACAAAACCTTGTCTAACTTGTAGACATGATTTGGACATTTAGGGTCCTCAAACCCTTTTGGTTGCTCAACATAAGTCTCTTCTTTCAAGTAACCATTCAGAACGTCGCTTTTCACATCCATTTGATACAATTTAAAGCCAAGAAAACATGCAACACCAAGTAAAATACGAATAGATTCGAGACGTGCAACTTGGGCAAATGTCTCATCATAGTCAACA